TAAATAAATAAATAAATAAATAAATACCTGTTTAAAAAAAAACTTAAGCGAGGGGACCAGAAGATGGCATAGTGGTTATGTCGTATGTCGCCGGACTCCCACATTACTGACCACGATTTGAAAATCATGCTGAGCACATATGCGTGCATGCCCAAGATCCTGGAAGGGGAATGGAGGAGAAAGGATTGTGGCATGGCCATCCCCCCTGGAGGGTGATTTCTCACTTTCCCTCTCACTGTCTCTCTCTCCAGTCCAGCACACATGCCCTATGGCAAAAATCTCTAAAACAAACAAACAAACAAGAAAATGCACAAGCAGTAAAAAGATAAACTGAAGGCAGAGTTGCGGTGCTCCAAGGAGAAAAAGGGGATTTTCCACTCTTCCTGCTAACTTTGGAGAATTGGACATTTGTGTAAGTAGAGAAGAGATATGTGCCCTCATTGGCACTGGTACAACTCTTTCTGCTTTCTGTAGGGTTTTTTAGAATTATTTATTTAATATCATTTATTATTATTATTATTATTATTTAATTTGCTATAGGATGCACACACTCACCAGAGAGAGAAAGAAAGTGAGAAAGCAAGCTATCGGGTCCGGAACTCAAATCACGGTCAGCCAAGTGGGAGTTCAATGCTTTACAAATAATCCAGTCAAAATTCAACAATACTTTCCCAATGCTGAACTAACAGGTGGCATTGATACTTTTTTGCAAACCTTAGCAAACCATCTATTGTCTTAGTCATTTGTAAATACTGAAAAAGCAATTCCAGTCACTCCCATCAAATTAGAAGTAAATATATTTAAACTTTTACCTAATGTTAGTGTCCTTTAACGTCGAAAGCAATAAAAAGAATAAAGCCCCGAAAAAAATCTACAGAAAAACAAGAGAGGGACAGTTTACCCTGAGACTTATGGTATAAACTAAATAATAAAGCAATTCTTCCTTTAAAACTTCAGCTACCCTTCTTACAATATGTGCTTAGGTTAATTCACTGGCACTCAGATGAAATGACAGCTTGGGAAAACAGCATTCTTGAAAACCTACTCCCACAGTGGCACAACTGGTGTACTCATGCTGTGTCATGTGACCCAAACTTAACCCTAGAAAGCCAATTTATTTTTTTTTGAGAGGTTTTCGCTATAGGGCGCATGCTCTCGTCAGATAGACAGAAAGAGACATAGAGACAGAAAGCGAGAAATCACCCCTCAGAGGGGATGGTCACGCCGCAATCCCTTCTCCTCCATTCTCCTCTCGGGATCTTGGGCACGCACGCACACGTGCCCGGCGTGAGTTTTAAGCCACCGGGTCCAGGACGCGAACCGTGGTCGACTACATGGTAGTCCAGCGACATAGCCATTACGCTAACTGCTGGTTCCCGAAAGCCAATTTATTGATCACAAAGACATTTTCCCTTTGAGATATGGCATTGGGTTTTGTCCAGTTGCCACCATCTTCAGAACCAAGTATATTCTGGTAATGATTTGCATGTTCTCTCAATGGACTGAAGCATTTTCATGCCAAAGAGCCAAGGCACAAACAGTAGGAAAAATCTTGTTAGATAAAAAACTATTCCCTCCCAGGGAGTTAACCCTCTGAACTCCACAGGGACTGAGGAACACACTTAAATGATCAGATCATTCAGTCTAGAACATCTGGCCAATTTTTCAACATCTCCATTGTGTTTATCATCCTCAGTTCTCTGGATTGGTGAAATGCCCTAATGGAGTAATAAAAATTCAATTGACAAAATTGAATGTATTTAATCTTTCTTGGCCAATGGACTTCCCATTGGTTCTGCTCAACCTACACTGTAACCTGTTTGGAAAGCATCAATTTTCTCCCTTTCAGATAATAACAGGAAGGTCTATGATCCTGGATGGAGGAGCATATGATCTGGCTTTGTTTAAAGAGAACTTTCTCTATTGCTATCCAGGTCTTACTAACTTCTTACAACAACGACTCTAAATTAATCAAGGATTGTTTCACTGTTAGTTCCCAGGACGTGAAGATGTCCAAGACCATGGTCTCCAACCCAGAGATTTTCATCTATTGGAAAAACCACCAAATTAAAGACTCCTCCCAATCCTATTGGTAGGGACTGTATCAGATACTATTAACCAATCTGTGTGCAGTCAGACTTAAAGAGTATTGATTCATGGATTCACATTTCTCATTTTAAAAAGATATCTCATCCAGAGTGGACCTCCACACTCACTGGTAATTTCCAACTGAAGCTGACACGGCTGACAAGGAACTAATCACCTCACTCTTAAGACAAGAATGAGAAGAATAAGAAATCTGTAGAAACTTCCTCCCAAGATCAGCAAACCAGGCTTGTATACCTCACAACCATGTTGTTGAAATACTCAAACTCTTGCTTTGGGGTCATTTTGTTGTTGCTGTTGTTGTCATTATGTTTAGTTTATTTGTTTATTTTGAGAAAATACTTGCTCTTTAAGTCTTTATTAATCTG